CTGAACTTTTGCTCTCCTGTGGCAGCAGCCGCGATTATTGCCATCTGCATAACAACACGCGATAAAAATAACAACGCTTCCACAAAACAAACCGGGGCCCTCAAAACCCCGCACAACCCCCCACCAGGGTTTTTTTTTAGCACCTAATTAGGGAAAAAAAAAACAACCGTCAGTGGAAAGAGCGCAGAGAGGCACGGGGCGATTTTTAAATGAGAACCGGCGATTTTTTTAATCGAAAACCGGCGATTTTTTAATTTGCAAATTCCCCTGGGAGGAGCGGGGTCAGGTGAGGCGCCGAGGTGGGTTTTGGCGCACTGGTGCCCCACTCCTCAGGGGCTATGAATTTAAATATGTATACAGACGACATATATACATACACACGCGCGTATATAATGATTAAAATATACAGAGAGAATTATTTAAACGGCCGGGTGCCCCTCGCTCCGCCCGGCTCGCAGCGGGCAGCGCACCCGCCTCGCCCTCTCCCCTCAGGCGCGGCCAGCGAGACGCTGAGGGAGCTCCCCCCTCACACACACACACTTTCCCCTCACATAACCCCCCCGTTTTCCCCTTCGCCGCTCACCTCCTGCTCCCTGAAGTGCTGGTTCTGCGCGTCGATGACGCGGATAGTCCTTTTGATGGGCAGCAGCCCCCCGAGCTCGTCGTGAGCCACCATGGCGGCGATTTCCTTCCCCCCCCACCCCCGACGCTCCCTCAGCCCGCGCTCATCGCGCTCTGAGGGCTCCGCGCGCCGCGCCCCGACCTCGCCGAAAGGGGCGGAGCCAGAGGGGAGGCCACGCCCCCGACAACACAAGCCACGCCCCCAAAGCCACGCCCACTGGAAAACTCTGGACGCGCCGGGAGCCCCAATTTGTTCCAAAATCTCCCCAAAAATTCCTGCCCCTCTGCTCAGCCCTGCGGAGGCGCAGCTGGGGTGCTGTGGACGGGGCTGGGCTCCTCAGGACAAGAGAGAGGGGGAGGTAGGAGCAGGTGACCGCTGTGGTCCCTTCCAAGCCGACCCATCCCGTGACTCCGGGAGATCCTGGAGCGGGTCCAAGGGCAGGGATGTGGAGATGACGAAGGGATTGGAGCATCTCCCTTATGAGGAAGAGCTGAGGGAGCTGTTTAGCCTGGAGAAAAGGCTGAGAGGGATTTTATCACTGTCAGGGTCTGCAGGGAGGGATCGGAGGACGGAGAGAGGGAGCCCAGGGACGGGACAAGAGGAACGGGCGGGAACCGATGCCCAGAAAGTTCCACCTGGACATGAGGAAAAACTTCATCCCTGAGCACTGAACAGGCTGTCCAGGGAGTCTCCCTCACTGTTGATATTCCAGAACCCTCTGGACACAATCCTGTGCCATGGGCTCCTGGGGCTGGAGCAGTGACCCACTGCGGGCCCTTCCAACGTGACCCATCCCGGGATTCGCTGAAAAACGGGATCTCTGGGAGGTTCTGCCTCAAGGCAGGACAAGGGGGGGCACCCACTGAGGGCTGAGGGGGCTGTTCCATCACACCCCCCCGGGGAAAGTGGTTTGAAATCCATCAGGAACTGCAGGGATGGGACACGGAGCGAGGGATACAAATCCAGAGGGGGGAAATTTAGGTTGGATATTGGGAAGGAATTCCTGGCTGGGAGGGTGGGGAGGGACTGGAACAGATTTCCCAGAGAAGCTGTGGCCGCCCCTGGATCCCTGGAAGTGTCCAAGGTCAGGATGGAACAACCTGGGAGAGTGGAAGGTGTGGGCAGGGAGTGGCACTGGATGGGATTTAAGGTCCATTCCGATCCCTTAACATTCCACAATCCCACGATT